TCTGATACAAGCCTTCCTCACTCTGGAACTAAGACTTCTAAGTCAGCAGAACATAAGATTGTGGGAATTGGAAGCATCAGTTTTGCTAGTCAGTCACCAGGGGTAATGGTGAGTGGTACCATCCCCACATTCCACTTCTTGATTTCTGGACCCGCTAATCCTGGCTAGGAGAGACACAGTACCATATAATGGACACTGATTCAAAGCACACAGCCTTTTGAATAACTCTGTCTTCTAGCTGGCACTGTAACTGCATCTTCAAAAGGCCACTCCACCTTTCTATCAATCCAGCTGCTTCTGGGTGATAAGGAACATGGTAAGGCCGTGAATTCCACGAGTATGAGCCCATTGCCTCACTTCTTTTGCTGGGAAATGTGTTCCTTGCTCAGAAGCCATGCTGTGTGATATACCATGATGGGGGATAAGGCATTCTGTGAGTCAGTGGATGGTTTTGGCAGAAGCCTTATGTGCAAGGAAGGCAAACCTATGCCTGAAGGCCACGTGTGCACTCTTCCATGGTGCCCCACCCTCACACTGCAGGGTGTACGTCTCTTCCTGCTTTTACTTGAACCAAACTTACTCTGCAGAATCTGTTTCTTTTCCTACCTTTAATAAACTTTGCTACTGTTAAAAAAAATCCATACATGGAATAAGTATCTATGGAAGTAAAAACAAAGTGAGATCCTTTCCATGATGGAAGCAGTCCAATATAATCAACCTGCCACAAGGTTGCAGGCTGACCACCATAGGGAATGGTGCCATATCAGGGACTCAGTGTTGGTCTCTGCTGCTAGCATACTGGGCATTCAGCAGGGGCTGTAACCAGCTCAGCCTTGGTGAGTGGGAGTCCATGTTGTTGAGCGCATGCATAACCTCCATCCCTGCCACCATGGCCACTTTGTTCATGAGCCTATTGGGCAATGACTGGGTGGCTGAAGAAAAAGGCTGACTGCTATCCACAGAGCAGGTCATCCATCCACTTGATTATTAAAGTCCTCTTCTGCTGAGGCCACTTTTTGATAGCACTGACATGTGGCACAAATTACATCCCTTCTCCATATAGAGAACTCTGTCCACACACTTGTTCCTCAAATATCTTTGTCACCAGTTTTCCAGGCATGTCCCTTCCAAGTCTCTGACCAGCTAGCCAGACTGCTGAGTAGCCCATGAATCAGTATATAGTTGCACATCTAGCTATTTTTCCTTCCAGACAAATTGTACAACCAGGTGTTCTGGCTAAAGTTCTGCCTACTGTGAAGATTTCTCTTTACTATCGCTTTTTTGGGGATGCTTTGGAGAGGGACTGTAATGCTGGAAGGTTGAAGAGTCTGCACTGCAAGGCTGAAAAATCTGCATCAGAAGCGTTGAGATGGACCTCCAAAGGTGATGGCAAAGACCAGAGCTTCCCAAGAAAGTAGATGAAAGACTTCCTTCTTCTTTCCCTTTTTATGCCATCTAGGCTACAATCTTGTTGGTGGGTGCCACCCACATCCAAGGTGGGTCTTCCCTCCTCAGTAAGTCAATCATTCAGACAAACCCACAACTGTGCTCAACCAGTCAGCTGGGTGTTTCTCATTCAAATTTACACCACAGTTAACTATCACAGGTGTATTAAATGCATCTTCAACTTATGATATTTTCAACTTGCAAGGTGTTTTTCAGGACATAGCTTCATCATAAGTTGAGGAGCCTCTATCTATAAAAAGATGCGGGCTGGGGATATAGCTCAGTGGCATAATCCCCTGCCTGGCAAGCGCAAGGTCCTAAGTTTAATTCCCGATACCAAAAAAAAAAAAAAAAAAAAAAAGACGTTTAATTTCATAGGTCATTAAGGAGTGGCAATTAAAATGAGCTACCACTACACACATATCAGAATGGCAAAAATGCAAAATACTGACATTAAATGCTAGCAAAGATGTGCAGCAACAGGACTTCTAATGTATTGTTGGGGAGGGATGCAAAATAGGACCATTTTAAAAGCCAGTGTGGTGGTTATTTGCAAATCTAAACATACTCTTACCATACAATTATGCTCACTGGAGTTGAAAACTTATATCCACACAAAAATCTGCATATGGTATTTACTATAGCAGCTTTGTTCATAATTGTCAAATTTTGAAAGCAACAAATATGTCCTTCGGTAGGTGAATGGAAGGATGGTGGTATGCCCAGACAATGGAACATTACTTAGCACCAAAAGAAATAAGCTATCAAGTGATGAAGACTTGGAAGAAACTTAGTTGCATATTACTAAGTAAAAGAAGCCAATGTGGAAAAGCTTATACTATATGATGTCAACTATATGATACTTTCAAAAAGGCGAAACTATGGAGACAGTAAAAAGATCAGTGTTTGCCTTGGACTTGGGGTATAGAGAAAGAATTATTAGAGAACAAGAGATTTTTAGGATAGTGAAAGTGTTAGCATGGAGGATGCTAATAAACCCTCTAGCTCCATTTGCCCCTAGTTGACTTTTAAAATTCAACATTAATTTTGGAGTTGGGAGTGGTGGTGCACACCTGTAATCCCAACACTCTTGGACGCTGAGGCAGGAGGATATCAAATGCACAGGCCAGCCTGGCCACTTAATGACTTAGAAAAACTCTGCCTCAAAATAAAAAAAAAAAAATGAAAGGCTGGGAATGTAGCTCAGTGAAAATGCCCTGGGTTCAATCCCCAGTACTGAAAAAAATTTACCACTTTTGGGAGTCACACATCTGGGAAATATGTTAGTAGTTTCCCCCTAGCATTGCTGTAGGTGACACCTGTAACTGAGGCCATCTAGTGGGTAAAAATCTATCCTCTGGTGAATATCATCTCCCTTGTATTACAAGGGAAAGCTCTTTTTTTCTGTATCTCAACCACTGTCCTCCTGAGGGAAAGTAGCCTTTTGCTATCGTCCAGTTTTCCAGAGAAAAGATTCCTTCTGTATCCTGATAATGATGAGCTGTTCCTGAGGAAAGGAACTAAGCAGACATGAGTCATAAGACTTTCTAGTTGTAACTTTTCTCTAGGTTTGCAGAACTGGGAATATCTAGTGACAAACAAGTAAGAGTATCCTGCTTATCAGAAAAGCAGTTACTGGAAACGTGGAGCTACCCTGGGCTTTGGAACTACCCGGGTGCATCTCTGTCCAGTATGCCTCCTCATGCTGTCCTAAGCCTTGTGCCTGCGACCCTAAGAAAGATGCTCTTTGTTGGTTTCCTAGCTTTCTAAATATATCTTTTTCTTCCCCCACAAACTGTCCTTGAGTCATTGGCCTAGAGTATGTGCAGTGGATGTGGATTCACAGTTTCAAAGCTACTCTGCATGACACTATAATGAGGGTACGTGTCATTATACATTTGTTCAAACCCATAGGACAGACAACACTGAGAGTGAATCCTAGTGTTCCCCACGGACATAAGGTTGTTACGTTGTGTCTGTTGAGGTTCACTGATTGTCACACATTATCACTCGGGTACAAGATGTTGATAAAGAGATGTGTATGCTTGAGAGTGGGGAGTCTGTGGAAACTCCCTATATTTTCTGCTCCATTTTGCTGTGAACCCAGAAGTACTCTAAAACAAAATAATAAAAGACCTATTAGAAAATAAAAGCCCGAACAACTCAAGGATGTAGTTCTTTGTACATGGCAAAACAAAAGCAAAAACAAACAAAAAGAAAACCTCTGCACATACAGGCAGGTGCTATACTTTGTGAGTACCACACGTGGCATTTGCTGTGAAACTTTCCAAAATGGAACATCTTTTGGAGCTTTTTTTTGGTTCCTTCTTCGATAAAGTTAATGTAAGCTGGCCCTGGTGGTACACACCTGTAATCTAGGCACTCAGGAAGCTGAGGCAGGAGGATCACTGGGAATTTAGGGTCAGCCTGGGCTACATAGAGAGTTTAAGGTCAGCCTGAACTACATAGCAAGACTCTGCCTCAAAAACAGAAAACAAAACAAAAGTTAATGTAGTAGAGACTATTAGACCCCAGAGCCTAGGTCAACACTTTTTTGGAGTGGCAGCCAGCTTTCATGCCGTGGTTCAGGTCTCCTGCCTGCCCCACCCCACCCTTAGTATTTAGATATATGAAAGCCTCTGGGAGGGGTGATGTAATACCTAGAGATTACTGAGACCAGAACTGGCTGTGGGCAGGACACTTCCCCTTTTCTAGGCTTTAGTTTCCCTCTTTCAAAAAGAAGTGGCTTTAGACGTCTTACTTTCCAACTCCGAGCTTCGGTGGGCTGTGTTGCTCTGGCTTTTCAGCCTGTGGCCCCACGTTTCCTCCGGGTAGGATTTCTCTCCCTGCTTTGCTTGGCTGACTGCTTGCTGTCTTTCTGGTTTCAGAATAGACATCATTTCCTCAGGGGAAGTCCTCTTGACCTCTCTGAACAGAACTAGCACCTTTTCTCCACACTCCCCTAGCCACTCACATCCTCTGCCCCCCCCCCAACATAGTAAATGGTGTTTTATGTTTACGTGTCCCTTCTCTGCTCTAGAGCTTGACCTCCTGGACAGCAGAAAGGTGCTAAGGGGGTCGCAGGTCCCAAATCTCCTTGGGGATGACCCCAGGTCTGTCCCTGCCACAGGAAGGTCCACATCCTTATTCTCTGGCAAGGGCTCTGCCTCCAGAAATATTCAACCACGAGCTGAAAGCTATGAGGAAGAAAACTCTATTTCATTAGTGAAATAAGCATTTATTTTATTAAAAGAATAATTAGAAACTATTCACTCGCAATATAACCTTTAAACAGGTTCCTTTAAGTGTGGATCTTTTTAGTTATTTGTTTTAAAATTTAAAGGGAGAATTTAAGATCTACAATCTCCTAATCCAAAGCTATCTCAGAAGCTAAGGCACAGAATCTAAAATGATAGTAAATTAGGACAGACCTTTGTGTGGCTGGTTTGGAATCTTTTGCTTTATTGACAGGAAGGCAAACACCTTCCACCCTGACACCTGCCTCTTGTCCGGGGTTGGCTGCCCTGGTACGTACCTTTGCTCAGCTCCGCCCCGCAGTGCCTGGCTGCAGCCTCCCTGTCCTCCAGCCTCAGAGCCAGCGCCAGCTGTGCCACAGAGATGGGGCTGCCCTGGCCAGGGCTATGGCTGAAGAGGCTGTGGGTGCTCGTGCAGGTGGCCGTGGAGGTAGCCACGGGCAAAGTGCTAATGACACTGTTTCCAGAGAGAATCAAGAAGAACATCCTGGCCATGGGCGAGAAGACTGGGATGACCAGGAACCCCCAGTTCAGCCACGACAACTGGATCCCAACCTTCTTCAGCACCCAGTATTTCTGGTTTGTTCTGAAGGTCCGTTGGCAGCGGCTAGAGGAGACAGCTGAGCTAGGGGGTCTGGCCCCAGACTGCTCGGTGGTCTGCCTCTCCGGAGAGAAGTGCACCATCTGGGACTTCATGCAAGGTCAGGAGGCTGCTCCATGCTCAGGAGCCTGATGCAGGGTTTCAGAGGGGGATGGAGAGGTGGGCTGGGGATCTCACTACTGCTTTACCTGCTATCTTGGGGGGTTCAGGATACTGGGAATTTTCCAGGATTCTGTTTCTCTGAATAGTATCAGTGCCTTCCCAAGCACTCAAACCATGAGCCATCCACTGTGGCCTTCACCCCTTGAATATCATCCTTACTGTGAGGTCTGTTCTGCGCCTAGCTATGCCTGCTGAAACCCTCTTCATCCTCAGGCTTCGGCTCACGGGCACTTTTCTTGAGAAGCCAATCCCAATTTCTGCAGGCCAGGTTACCCGTCTTGTGTGCTTGATGAACATTTTAAGCTTTTCTTTATTAAAGCCGCCTGAGTTTGCAGTTGCATGTAGGTACTGACTTAGGTGCGTTGCTCTCATTTACTGCGAACCTGTGCGGGTGGAGGCTGTGGCTCTGACCCCACCAAGCCCCGGGCTTGGGTGCACAGCAGTTGCTCAGTAAACACTTGATGATCTCTCTCCCTTCCTTCCTCTCACCCTTCCCTCCCTCAAGTCCAGGCAGACCAGTGCTAGGTATGCGGGTTCTTGAAGACCTCACCATCCAGTTCTCTGTCTTCACAGCTTTCCTTCTTACCAGGACCTCCTTCTCCCCTTCTTGCTCTCTTCTTGTCCAAATTTGGTGGCTGCCAGACTGGCTTCTCTGAGGACACCCCAGCTCAGCACTCTCTGCAGGCCCTGTCTGCATTTGGGTGAGGCCCAAACTCAGCCTGCCATCCAAGGTCCTCTGGGGTCAGGCTCTGACTTTTCCCCCAGTTTCACCCCCAAGGCCTCACATGCCCTCATTGCCTGAGACAGACGTGGGGCCTCCTTTATCCTGTGCTGTCCCTTCTCTGTACCATTGGCCCTGTGGTTGGTCCAAGTGTCCACATCCCTCGTGCCTCTGTGTACACGTCTTGGGCCTTGTCTGTGATGACACTTCAGATCCCTGTGGTTACCATGCTCTCTGCCCCTTCTGGATGTAGGCTCCCCATCCACAGCTCTCCCTGGACACTTCTTCCTGTCTAGCATCTGGCTACCAAAGCTCCCTGCCCAACAAGAAGGCCCCGGTGGGGGCTGTGTCTGACTTAACTCAGCCATCCTCAGGGTGCTACCCCGGGCCTAGGAGCAGGCACACACGGAAGGCCCTTGAGGCAGCTGGCTAATCTAGCGCTTTCCTAACATGTTCTTTGGAACCCCATCCCCCAGATCTGCTTCACCATGTAGAGTTCACATGCTCTGTCATCCTTCTGGGAATTCATAATACACGTAAGTGTATAAAAGACTCTGAGAAACCCTGAAGCTTAAAAGCAAATACAGAGAACGTGAAAAAAAATCTTGCTTAACACATCCCCGACTGGCTTTGCTCACACGCACACACTCCCCTCTCCGCCTGAGGAAATGCTTATGCTCACTGTTCCGATTCCCGAGAACACTCTTTGGGAATCACTGACCTTCTCCAAGCCTCTCATCATAGAAGGGAACAGAGAACTGAGAGGCTGAGGTAACAGAGCCAGTGAGGGACAGGTCAGACCCAGAATCCCAGGGTGCCTTGTATTCATTCCAAGCATGGCACCTCCTGTGTGCCAGGCCCTTAGGTAAAAGTCTGCTCCTTGGGTCAAGGACTTTATGGCTCCACACAACAGATGCTGTAGTAAATCCTGACAGTCCTGTGGGATGCAGCAGGCTGCAAAGACGTGGCTTCAGAAGGCTTCCTGGAAGAGGCAGCTTGGGGACTGCCTGGAAAGATGAGTAGGATTTTTGTAGCATGGCAAGGAAGAGTGCTTTAAGCACAGAAAAGAACAATAGTTCATTTTGTTCTTCCCTTTGTTCATTCATGATTTCAAACCACAGTACACAAAAGATCTCAATTTTTCAGTGAATATTCATCACATAACCACTGATAATAACAGCAGTGAAAATGACAACTAACTTTTACGGAGTGCCTGCTATGTGCCAGGCATTGTGATGGAACAGGACAAGGTGTGGACTGAATGTCAGCCATCTGAAGATCACTTCCCTGAAAACCAACTTGCCTCAGGGCCATTTCACAGAATTCCCTGGCATCGCTTAACTGTCTACTTTCAGTTAGAAAGAGCTCCATTTGTCTCCAATCCCTGCTGCTTCAACTGAGACTGAAAGGGTGCAAGAGAAGGGAGTGAGAGGCAGGACCAAGCCAAAGTCTTTTATTGGTAAATTGGGGTTCACTTTCAGCACTGTGACTTAAGAGTCCCCTGAAATAGGCACTGGCACATAAGAAACAAGCACCCTGGGGCCTCTGCCCCAAAGACCTCAGGACCCAGCGTGAGACAGTAGCAAGAGCAGGTAGCAGAGGGCTCTGGGGAAGGGACCCTCTCCTGGGAGTGGGGAGGAGGTGGCCAAGGAAAGGCTGCCTGGAGGACAGCTGAGTGTCGGAACAGGGAAGACTTGGGGTAAGTGAAGAAGAAGGGCTTGGGGAGGGCAGAATGGAGGTGAGGAGCACAGAGCCTCCAGATGCAGAGAAGCACTGTTCAGTTTGGTGGAAGTGGGGTGCAAGAGGCAGGGCAGTGTTAAAGATGAAGCTGAGGATATCACCAGGGACCACGACACGGGCGGACTTCTGCATCTTACCTGCAAGGGGGCATGATCTGAGGGTGTCAGTGAGTTCTGGCAGGGTTTTCCAGGAGAGTTAATGCGATCAGTTCTAAGTATTAGAAAGACATCCTATAACTACTGAGAAAGAGCAGGCCATTAAAATGCTCTGTTGTATATTTAGAGTATAAATTCTGAATTCATTTTAGAGTCACAGAGTGGGAGACCTAGAAGACCCTTTATAGATAACCAAAAACAACTCTTTCACTTTTCAGATGTAAAGCCCTAAAGAGGTAATTGACTTAGTAAGTGGGAACTTGCCTTCTGACTCCTCAGGGGCATGCTTTCTGTGTTGCATAAGACATCAGGGGCTCAGAGAGATTCTCAGCTACTACCTGTCCTGTGTATGTCTGTGCAGAAGCACACACATGTGCACGCACGCACCCCCCCACATGCACCCCTGCACGTACACATACACACACACAGAGCAAAATATTGATTAACTGCTATATTGTGCAGAGAGCAACTTAGAGGTAATTTATTTTCTGGGTACTTAGAGTTCAGTTGAAACTGGCTGTACTGCAGCCCCTGTTTAAAATCTCCTGAAATCTCTCCAAGTGGACTAATGCAGTGTTCTCTAGTAACCATCCATGGGATTTCTCTGCTAAGAGAGCCTGGCATGGGGGATAATTTACTGGCCTGGAAGTCAAGAGGATGGGTCCAAGTATAGTTCTACCACAGAACTTTCTTTCCTTTTATACAACTTGACAGTTCTTGCCTGACATTATTAAAATAGGGCTCTCTGCCCTGTGGCCTGTGGACATGGGCAGGGTGCCAGTCCTCTGCAGAGCCACTCTCCTGTTCCCATCCTTTCTCTTTCTACTCCCAGGAAATGTGGAACCAAGTTGAAACTTTGCCCTCAACATTGATCACTGTACCCAGCCACACTATAAATAATTAAACAAAGGCTCTGTCCCTTGCAGGGTCCTAATCAGTGGATGTTGAATTTTTTGTCAATTAAGAACAAAATTCCAGACAGCTAATATTTAGAGCTGGTCCTGACCTGGAGTCAGGACTTTTCTTATTTAAAGAGTGACTTACTGGGGTCACTGGAATCCAATGACCAGCCAGCCCATGACTGACCTTGGAGCCTCCCCTGTTGAGGCCTGGGCCTCCCTGTCACATGGGTGCAAAATCACACAATCAGCCAGCAGGACTAAACCTACTCAGTACCTCCCAGAACTTCTCATGCAAATAAACTGCGAGCCAAAGGCAAGATAGCTTCACATCCCAGAGAAACCACGTACCTTCTCCTCATCACAGACCCAGGGTTAGGGATACATAACTGTTTATCCTTTTACTTGGCTACCAGGAAACTCAGAGTTAAATATAGCACTTATGATAAATGCATGGAACCTTACAGCCCATGTGTGTGTGTTCCACTTTCTCCGCCTTCCAGAGGGGGCATGAATTTTTCCCTAGTTTCTATTTAATATTTTCTTATATACGCAAGCTGCTTTAAATCCCTTCCAGAACAAGGGGGATGCACAGCTGACCAAATAAACCACAAGCCAGTGAGGTATGCCCTAGTCCCCAGTGGTGAGCAAGCCCTGTCAACTCACCTGTCCCCTGCTCTGTGCCCACATACATGCCTGGCTCCTGTCATCTTGCACGTGGGCTTCTCAAATGCCCCTTTCCTGCCTCCTCCATTCCCATTCTCACACTCAGCCCTTCCTCCATCGGGAAGCCAGAGTGACCTCCAGTGTGAACCTGATCATTATGTAGCCCTACTGTGGTAGTCAGGGGTCTGGTTTGCAAGTAACAGAAACTTGCTTTGGTTTTCTTAGTCACACACACACACACACACACACACACACACACACACACACACACACACAGGAAAATATTGGAAAGAAGTTGGGAGCTCCCCAGAATTAACAGTACTAGAGTCCTGGGTGTGGACAGTTTAGTATCAGCAGTCAGACCTGGATCCTCCTGTCATTGCGGTCGTCATGCAAACCCATCACCCCCTTTGACTGGGGCACCATTAATGGGCTATGAGTGAATTCTATCATCTCAATGATTCAAGAATCAAAGATCAAAGTAGGCTGAGCTGTAATGCCAAGAAAGAGGATACTCGGGAGACTAAGGCAGGAAGATTGCAAATTCAAGATCACCCTGGGCAAGTTAGTAAGACCCAGTCTCAAAAGGGCAATGACAGGGGTGCAGGTGGGGCTGAGAATATAGCTCAGTGCCAGAGTGCTTGCCTAGCATGTTCAAGGCCCTAGGTTCAATTCCCAGTACTAGAGAAAAAATAAGCTATATGGGAGGGTTGAATCAGACCACGGGGGTAGGGATCTGTGCCTGTATCCTAGCTGCTGGGGCCACAGTGTAGACCTGGCCTCTCTGTCTTCCAGGGAGCAAGGGTGGGCACATTCACTCAACAATAACTCGCAAAAGAGGGAATTCAGGGTAGAAAGGAGATCTAGGAACTAGGCACCCAAAATTGCAACAATTTATTTTTCCATGGCTTCCCTTTATACCCAGAATAAAATCCGGATTCTTCACCAAGGCTCATGAGACCTTCCTGTGCTGGCTCCTTCCTCTTCAATCATTTCTCTTCTTGCTTCTCCTGCCTGGTTCCAGCCAGTGTCTTGACAGGCCTAGAACAAATTAAGCTCTGTTCCTCCTGGGGGACTTTGTACACAGAATCACTTTGCCTGGAATACCCTTCTCCCTTTGCCCCTGGCTGGTTCTTTGCTAGCCGTCATTTCTCAGGTTTAATGGCAGCGCCCCAGAGGCCCTCCGTGGGCCCCTGTATAAAGTAGGCCACTCCCTTATGGTCTCTTGCATAACGCTTGTCACTATTTGAAATAACTTCATTTCTGTGTTTACTTGCTTTTTAGCTGCTCCCCGTCAAACAGACTGCAAGCTGTGTGCAGTTTAGATAGAATCTCACTGCTCAGGGGACAATGGGCACCCCGGAGAAAGTGAAAACTAACTGGCCATGTCCCAACACAGGACCAGGCATGTAGGTGTACAGTAAGGGCTCAATGATGTTTCAACTATAGCCATAATAAACTACTGGCAGCTCCCTACAGCTATCCTATGTAGGCCAGGGAATTTCACAGCCCTGGCTTCCTGGGCAGGGTCCCAGACTCAGAAGAGCCTCATAGTTGGGGGTTAGTGTTCTATGGTAGCTGTCTTACAATTCTTCATAATTTTATTTTTGAATTTGCGCTTTGTAAGTGAATACAAAGGAACCATGGAGCTTTCTCTGAGGACTGGGAGCCTTGTCTCCCACAGCGTTCTGCCTCCTGCCTGACCTCGCTGCCTCCCTGGGACATGTTGTCCAAGGCTCTTTTTCCTGTTCTCACCCAGTGACTGCTGTTGCCTTCTGGCCCCAGGGAGGTCCTGGGCCTGGGAATGGGGAAGGCCAAGGTGAGGTGTGGGCATCCCTCTGTGTCTTGTGGCAGGGCACTGGGGTTGTCGTCTCCATCCTGGACTTAGTGCCACAGTGCAGTTTGGAAAGTGGCTGAGCTATCTTGAGGGAGAAGCCGCCTGTCTCCCCTCACCCATCAGGGTGCCCAGCCTGGCCTGGCGTGGTATGTGGGTGAGAAGGGCAAGGTCTGGCTCGGTTCTGCGCTCCTGCCCTGCACATGGTATGTGGGTCTGCTGGCTGGAGGGAGGAGGAAGCTGGTGGCCTGAGGCCACAGGCACACACACATGTGCCCAGTGAGCCCCAGGGCTTCACCCTGTGCATTTCCTTGTGCTCGGGGAGTACAACATTGAATGGCAACCAAAAAAACACTGTACCAGGTCAAGACAGAGATGGCAGAAGAGAGGGGAAATCTTTCTATTTTAATTAAGTTAATGGCACTTGGCCCTACTTTATGGACGGGGGGTGGGGGGCTCTGTTTTCACTCTGCAGCAGGTCCTGCTCCCAGCCTTTACCCTCTGTGCAGCCCCTTCCCTGTCTCCCTACTTCAGAGCTGAGGGAAGAGATAAGAGCCAACAGCAACAGCTTGTATGTACTGAGGATCTACTATGAGCTAGGCAACATTTTAAGCCCTTATCAGTACTAATTTACTTAATCCTCAGAACAATCCTGCCAAGTATGTATTATTATTTTGTCCAATTGTGGATGAGAAAAATGAGGTGCTTTGATTTTTTGTCTTTTTGACACAAGGTCTCACTATGCAATTCAGGCTGGCCTTGAGCTCACTTTGTAGTCCAGGCTGGTCTTGAACTCACAGTGATCCTCCTGTCTCAGCCTCCTGAGTGCTGGGATTATGGGCATGCACCACCACGCCCGGCCAAGCTGTTTTGAATAGAAAGAGCACTGATTTGAGAGTCCAAAAACCCAAGTGTTCATTGAACTTCACCACCAACCCACTCATTGGTCCTGGAGCAAATCTACAAACCTCACTTTCTTTGTCTGTAAAACAGGGGGAAGTCTCCTACCTTGCAGTATTACCAATCCCATCATATGAGAGAAGGGACCCTGCTTGCCTGATTAACTCCATTATTTTCACTAATACCCTGTGTCTGCAAGTGGTCCACTGAGATCCCCTAACAAAACTGTCTAATTTTAGATTGGTTCCAGTCTTGTTAAGCAGTGCCTGCTAGTCACACACACACACACACACACACACACACACACACACACACATTGCTGGGGACCTGTTCTTAGGGAACAATAAAGATGGCAGCATTGAACGCAGGGGAGAAGTTGCTACTGCACAGGAAATGTATAGATTCTCAGTTTAGGATGGTTTCTTTTCAATTTTAGGCAACAGGCCACTGGTACTAAATTTTGGAAGTTGCACCTGACCTTCGTTTATGTTCAAATTTGACCAATTCAAGAGACTTATTGAAGACTTTCATCCCATGGCAGATTTTCTCATCATTTACATTGAAGAAGCACATGCCTCAGGTATGGAAAGAGTCTTTGCCTCTACTTCTTCCCATTATTTCCCCTTCCTCCCAGCTTCCCCTCAAGGTGGGGAGGGGAAAAGAGGAAGAGCAGGAGGAGGAGGAGGAGGAAAAGAGCTGCTGTTCACTGGGGACACCACCTCCCAGCCCCTCACTCACACAGTCCGGCTCCAACCAGGCACACATTTGTGAAGACCTGGAGAGATAGGGCCTGTCTGGAGAGCATTCCAACTTTCTGGTCCCCTCCCCTCCCCTCCCCTCCCCTCCCTTCCCCTCTCCTCCCCTCTTCTCCCTTCCTTTTCTTTTCTTTTTTTCTTTTCTTTTTCCAGTAGGCAGTCCTGGGAATTGAACCCAAGGCCTTTGCACTGAGCTACATCCCCAGCTCTTTTTATTTTATTTTCTGAATTTTGAGATAGAGTCTTGCTAAATCATTAAATTGCCCAGAGTGCTGGAATTTCAGAAATGGGCCACCATGCTGCTCTGCATTCCAACATTTTGAATGGATAAATAGAGAAATCAGGAGAGAACATCCTAGAATTCAGAAGGACAGTATGGATTATCTGGGTCAGTAGTTCACAGCCTTTTGCAAGCTTTGGGAGCCCCTGGAGTGCTGGCTATAGAAAACTGCCTTAGTGGCTCTGGGATAGGCCTCAGAAATTGTATTTCTTTTTTGTTTGTTTGTTTGTTTGTTTGTTTTGTTTTTTTCCGGTACCAGGGATCGAACTCACAACCTTGCACTTGCCGGGCAGGTGCTATGCTGCTGAGCTAAATCCCCAGCCCCTAAGAACTTGTATTTTTGAAGGTTCCAACGGTGCTGATGATGCTAGTCTGGGGACCACACCTACAGAACCACTGCTGTTGCCAACTTCTGTCTGGGTGGGAATCCTTTCTACAGCTCCTAACTGGTGGTCACCCATTATCACCATCCTACAGGAAACCCTGTCCCCTTGCTGAGAAAGCTGAAAAAGTGAGACAGTCTTTCCTTACAGGGGGCAGAAATATCCCTCCAGGTACTGTGTCATGTGTCATTGTGGGACACAACTCTCTCTCTCATCTTCATGAGGATTAAACCCAAGAATTTGGCCCAAGTCTCTAACCCTGAGGTGGAAGAGGGCAAGAAGGCTTATGCAGCCAGAGGGAGCCAGTGTCCTTTACTCACGAGCCTCTCCATAAGATGGGAGAGGCGCTGGTAGAGCTGCCACTGTCATGCAGCACTCTCCGGAGTCCTTGCCACAGTCAGAGTGCTGCCGAAACTGCGTGAATACCTGTTGAGACCGATACTGGCCCTGCTGGCTTGTCCATGTGTTGTATGCAAAGGGAGTGCACTGATGAATTTTCAGCCAACTTGGCCCAGTGGTGCTTTTTACAGTGTGGTCCCTGGATCCCTTAGTGACAGAACCACTGGATTATTTGTGGAAAACACATATTCCAGAGCTCTGCACCATGCCTGCTACATCTTGACTTATACAGCCCCAATGGCTTAAAAACTACTTTCAATGCAATACTGTCTTCATTTCATTGCAGCTTCCACATTTATTAAGATTTGGGGGCAATTTAAAATCCCTCATTAAATTTGGGAACAATTTAAAATATCATCATAGGGTAAGAGGTACATGAGATTCATTATACTGTTCTATCTTATGTATATTTGAAATTTCCATAATTAAGCCTTTAAAAAAAACCAGCCTAGGGACCAGGAGAGCAAACACCAGCACAATGTGTCTCTTTGTGAACCCATGCCCCCTTGGTGAGAGCAGCAGCCCTCAGTTAAAGAGACCTTGGACAGTGACTTTGGCATCCTTGGCCAAGAAGAGACAGTTCTAACATCACCACACCTGACAGCGCAGCACAGTCAAAGCTTATTTAAGCCTTCTGGGGAGGTGCTTCTCAAACCCTGATGTATGCACAAATCACCTGGGATCTGAATGAAACACAAATGCTGAATCAGGAGGGATGGGGCGTGCCAGGTGTGGGCAAGGCTGCTGGCCCAGGGACATTTTGAGTAATGAGGTCCTAGGGGACCCAGCTTTGATCTTCCAAAGAACAAATTGCAAACTGCAGTAAGAGTGGTTGGATCATTACTAACAGTGCTTCCCTGTCTCCTGACACGTTTTCCCTAAAATCAGACAGGCAGGTTTGACCCTTCCTAGAACCAGAGCTGTCTACCTCAAGCTACAGAGGAAAGGCTTCCGGCCCCATCCTGACATGGTCTGTTCTCCCACCTCGGTGCCTTGCCCCTCCTACCACGCACAGTTCTTCCTCCTCCCTGTCTCCTTCCCCAGGGTCCTTGTTTCTATCAGTCAGACAGAACTGGGCATGGCTGGAACCTCAGAAATAAACTGTACACAGCCAGTGTCCACCAACACTAGGAGGTCTGGGGTCGGGAGGCCAAATTAGTCGCCTTGCTTTCCCTCACACACCATGTTTGTCCAGGAAAACACAGGGAGGCACAAAGTGTAGTAGGAAGATCATACGCTTTGGGCGTGAATCCAGCTCTAGATGTGCTGATCACGTGACCTTGGTCAATTTACCTTTCATGCCTGCTTCTCTACCACAAAAATGGGATGAAACATCTCCCTCAGAACCATTCAGTCAACAGTACTTAATGAGCACCTGCCATGTGCCAGGTCTGTGCTGGCCTTGGGAGATGGGGACAAGAGACTCACGCAGTTCCTTCCAGTAAGAAACTCACATTTCTAGAAGGGGAAGCAAGTTGCTGTTCCCCTCTTGGTCTTCATGTTCTCAGCTGTTCCTTGGGACTGAGAAACCCACTTGGCCTCCCATAGAAGGCTGCCATGAAGCTCTAATGGGCCAATGGCAGGTCAGGCTGCCCCACCATGGTACAGATAAACTGGTTATTATCATCAACAAGTTTGATGACAAGTAAAAATGCCTAAGTTCTGGCCAGACATGTAGATCTTGATGTGAATCTCTTTGGCGAGCTGGTTTAACTTGGGGGAGAGGTACTGAGCAAGATGGCCTGGAGGCCCTGAGGAGGAGCAGCCTACTCTGCCGGTAGGTTAAATCAACTTTCATCACCCAGAGAAGCAGCAATTATTGTAAACACAGACCACGTAGCTTCTGAAGGAACCTAGAACTGCATAGCCCAGGTTCCAGGCTCCCCATCAATGTGGTGAGACCATCAGTAGTTTACACTCATTTTTCCAACTTGTGGGCACATTGTGGTGAGTCTCTAAAGGACAAGCAGGATGATGGGCTGGAAGGCATGTGATTAGGAGGCAGGAGGACTGTATAGGAGAGGATGAGATCAAGGGCCATGCCAGGTCAGCAGGTGTAATGGCTGTGAGCTCATCGGTAATAATAAGCTCATCGGCTTATTATTATTTGTGTGTTTGATGCTGGGGATTAAACCCATGGCCTTGTGTGAAGGACAGATTGGGGGTAGGTGGGTCAAGGAATCCAAATAGTTCACCCATTTGCTTAGAGTGGGGTTAGACATATCCCACCCCACTAGGGACCCTGGGATGTGTCTTACAGGTGATAGGGAGCCACTGAAAGGTGTAAGCAGAAGAGTGACATGGTCAGATTTGCATTTTCGAAAGAATATTGTGGTGAATAATTAGGAGAGGTTGTCTAGGTTCTACAGTAGTAGTTCTTAAAAGTCACTGTGTCTTAGAATCACCTGGAAGGTTATAGAAATACAGATTGCTCGGCCCCATTTCTGGGTGGCCTAATGTAGGGCCCAAGAATTTGCATTACTATAAAATACAGTAATCCCTTCACAGCTGGGCTGGGGACCATGCACTTAGATGGCCACTGCTCTAGACTCATGGCACAGCAGTGGCCATGGCATCCTGGACTCTCAGTACCACCCCCACGCCAAATCCTAATCTTCCTTTAACAATGTCTCTGAGTGATACATATGCACACCACTGATCAAGAGCAATGTGTCTGTTGGACCATCTCATAGTGAAGAGCTGAGGTCAACTCTGGATCAATTGGTAAGTCCCTAGGTGACCTTGTACATTCACCTCTAATGAGAAACTGGGTCATATCATGGCTGAGGGTGCCTCTGTCTGAGACCTTTAATAAAAGAAGATGGTGTTTGGTGTGCAGAAGGTGTGTCCCATGCCTGTGGGCCTCAGTACCTAACCTTTCTCCTGCAGATGGCTGGGCGTTTAAGAACAACGTGGACATCAGGCAGCACCAGAACCTCCAGGACCGCATGCGGGCAGCCCACCTGCTGCTGGCCAAGAGCCCCCAGTGCCCTGTGGTGGTGGACACCATGCAGAACCAGAGCAGCCAGCTCTATGCGGCCCTGCCTGAGAGGCTCTATGTACTCCAGGAAGGCAGGATCCTCTATAAGGTGATGACCTGGGGGCAAGGGGCACAGGGAATGCAAGGGGATCAACAGCGGGCAAAGGTAAAAAGAAGGTTTTATATCAGGGAGATGTAGATTCAAATCACTGCTAGCCATGAGACCATGAGTGGTCCTTTTGCCTCTTGGAGCCTTAGCTTCCTCTTCTGCAAAATGAGGTGACTGGTCCTCATCTCACTAGGGAGAAATGATGTTCATGGAAGTCCCTAGCTGCATCCTCCTGGCTGCCTTCTGAACCCAGATGACTAGTCCAGCCCTGGTTTGTTGTTAAGCTGAGAGATACAAACTGTTGTTTCCATTTTATAAGTGATCCTCCGAGAGGATCTGACTTCCCCAAAGTCACTAGGAAGACTCTGATTTCAATTCTAACATCGCCTGAATGGAGTCTCAAGGTGCCGAGGGCCACAGTACAGAATGCAGGTTCTGCCCTCATCATGGTTCTAAACCTAGGACTGAGCCCCCCGATAGGCAAGTCCCTTTGCAAGTACTGGAAACACAAAAATGCATTAAATATGACTCCTGCCCTACTTCAAGGAGCTCACAGCCTGAAGACAGGGAAGACTCAAATAAAAGTAGGAATACAGTGTCCTAAGTGTTGAGAGACTCCAGAGGATTCAGAGCAGGATTTAAGACCAATTAGTAAATGTTTTCTGCTTTGTGGATCAAATCACCCCTGAATCCCAGACAGCTCCATCCTGCTGTTATAACACAGAGGCAGCCTCAGAGGATTTGTAAAAGGAACAGTGTGAGGTATCAGGGTCGATGTGGCTCCCAGACTGCAGATTCTCCAAGCCCTGAGGAAGCACAGGCATTTCAGAGGCTGGCACAAGTTCAGGCCTGAGAGCATAAGGAGCCAGCCGAGTAAGCACGATGAGTGGAAATCACTGTAAATAGCGGGAACAGGGTGGCCAAATTCACAGGGACATATAGAGCAGGGTGTGGACAGGAAACTGGGGCATCTAGGCTATGGAGGTTCTGGACCAAGGAGTTTGCCCTTCATCATTGGGCAGAGAAGAGCTATAGAAGGGTTCTGAGGAGAAAGAGGAACAATCTGACCTGTACTTGAGTAAGACCACTGGCCACGGGGTGCAGGGAGCAGGGGCTGGAGATGGCTGGGAGGTACGGCAGCTGCCCAAGGAGAGGGTGAAGCGGGCCAGCTAGGACACAGGGCTTGGACAGGCAGAGGACGCACTGATTGGAATGGGAGAACTCAATGCAAGGACCGGAAAGAAGAAAGGCAGGTCTGAAGGTCTGACGCTGGAAGAAAAGTCTATGTGTATAGAGCTTTTTTTCCTTTTAAAACTCTGTCACTGTACTGTCTCTAGTTTCTGCCCACTTCTCTGTCCCATCTTCCAGCTAAATGTTGATGCCACTCTACATACTTTCCCAGGGGGGTCTGATCCACTCTATGGTTGCACCTGCCTTTGACTGGTCTGCACAGATGATTCCTGCATAGACACCATTAGCCCTCGTCTCACAAACAAGCTCCAGACCCGCAAATTCCTTGTGCATTGAAAATCTAGGAATCCCTGATTCATTTCTTTTGCAGGGTAAACCTGGTCCTTGGAACTACAATCCTGAGGAAGTTCGTGCTGTTCTGGAAAAGCTCTGTACTTAATCTGCACAGATCCCTCAGTTGTAGGTGACCAACAGGAGAGCTCTTCTAGCTCAGCTCTTTCCCCAGCACAGCTGTCTTCATCTTTGACTTGTGCTCCCGGACAAACTACTAGTTCAAATTTTCCTGATCCAAGCAAACAACTCCCGGTAGGGGGTACAGGTCACAACACTCAACCAGGACAAACTGTTATGATCAGAAGATGAAGCAACACTTGAGATGTTCTTGCAAGTGAACTGTGAAAGAACGCACAACTCCACACTGCTCCCACCGCTGGGCCCACCCACCGCTCAGCGTCACTGAGTGAGAGAGCAGTTCCACTTCACTGGCATGCTTCTGAAGTGTCGTTATCTCTCCAGCCACTCTCACACCAAGTGGCTCAGTACCACATCCCTTATGTTAGGAAACCTAATCTGATCAAATTTGCCATTCCCAGACTCGACCGTTTAAGATAACAATTGGTTTGTAGAGCCAGGCAGGGGGAAGAATTCCAGTTTTAAGGTGAGGTGAGGAATTGTAAGAGGAGGTGGTGGGATCAAAAGAGGACAGTCACCTTTTTCTTGCCAAAATATTTAAATCAGTTTTTGTTGGAGGGATGGTGAGTTTCCATGGTAACATTATTTCCAGTTCTTCCAGGAGGAAGAGAGTATTCACTTTACCAACTATATTTACCAAATATATTTATCTCCCACTGTGCTAACTGATTGAGAATCATTTTGAGGGGAGGATTTATTTCACTTTCCAAAAGAATGATGTCCTCCACCAAAGCCATAACATGCACTAGCAAAAGCTATTGTTCATGTATGCAGAAATGTGTATTTGACATTGTTTTGCTGATTTCTTTGCAAGTCTCTTAATGGTCATTTGTGTTACATTACATCAGACTAGTGGATAACCACTGGTATTCATCGGTTCTAACTCTGCTTCTTTTCATATTTGCTCATGACGGCCACAGCCTAAAGTACACACAGCTGTGACTTGATTTGAAAGAAAATGTTTTAAGATGCAGCAAACTAATATGGAACAATTAAAATGGTATCAGGCTATCTTGGATGGCTTCAGTGTGATCTCTGCATTTTATCTCTCAATTTGTGTCAGCCTGATCTTTTATTATAGCTCAGTGCAATCTGATCAGCAAAATCACCACATGCTGGAAGCGGGGTCGGGTGCAGGGCTCATTTGGTGGGAAGAACACTCCGTCTCTATGTGTTACATGTCAGACATGGTATTTTTTTGTGAAATTCTGCTAGAGGGAAGTAATTTTTTATATTAGAATCAAACTAGTTTCACAACATGACAAAGACTTGGACTTGGGAGACATTTTGCTAGCATGAAAACACATTCTCCCTGGCCATGCCTTAGTTGCTACAATGCTAATATTTTTAATGCTCCATTTGATCCTTTTTTTAAAATGTCAGGGTCTGGCCATGTTGTCCAGGCTGTCCTCAAACTCCTAGGCTCACGTCATCATGCATGCCATTGTGCCTGGTCATTTTACTGTTTTTAAAATAGCTATTATTAATCATCTGCAAAACATAGGCTTTGTAGTATTCTCATTTAATTTCTTTTTATCCCAAAGAGGAGATTATGCCCATTCTAGAAAACGAGAAAATCAGGCCGGGCGTGGTGGCGTACGCCTGTAATCCCAGCACTCAGGAGGCTGAGGCAGGAGGATTGTTGCGAGTTGCGACCAGCCCGGGCTACAAAGTGAGCTCAAGGCCAACCTGAACTGCATAGCAAGACCCTATCTCAAAAAAAAAAAAAAAAAAAAAAAAAAAAAGAGAGAGAGAGAGAGAAAATCAGAGCTTAGAGAGTTGAGAAAGTTCTCAGCACTGGAAATAACATAGATTCAAATGCTATCTCTGATGATAAGGCCAGATCTAAGCTCTGCTCCTACTAGGTTATATGGCTTGGGCTAAGCTGTGCTGGCACTAAAGTATAAAACAGGACATCAATAGTACCTACCACAGAAAACTTATGAGTAAATCACTCAGAACTGTGCCTGGCTAGGAGAAAACACCATGGAAGTCTTAGCTATTGTAGTGATTACCATCGTTATTGCTCTACACCCACCTCCTTGGGCTCCCTTTTGAGGACTAGGAGTCAGAAGGACAGTAGGAACACTGCTCCACCCTGCCAAAGTAGCTGGCTGACATAGGTGTGGGTTTGGGCACTTACACTGAGGGCAGGCAACATTCTCTGTGTGAGATGGTGGGACAGCCAGGCACTGTCCTTCCTAAGTACTGAGGCCCACGAAAGGAGACAGTGCTCACTGTCATATATGGCAGTGCTCTCAATAGTCCTCTGATTTGTGTCAATAATGTACAGAAATCTCCCAGTTTTCAACAAATGACAGTAGTTGGAACTGAGGAGTTTTCAGAATGATGAAACAGACTCCCCACTTTCCAGTTCAAATCTCTTTGATTTAACCCATCAAACATTAACTGATCACTGGTTCTTTTCAGGATGCAGAGTGGTACAAAGATGGACAAAGCACAGCTTATCTTCCAGCAGCTTAATTTCATGAGGGAGTAGACATTCATTCCACCAACCCCAATTCAAGGTGGAGTATGGTGTGTTAACCTGGGGACTGGGCACAGAGGACAGGGCAACACTTCTGAGCTGGGTGAATCTCAAGCTGTATAGCACCAGTGGTATTTTAGCTTGGTCTTCAGTGATGCCCAGTGCTTTCATATTTGAGAAGGGAGAAGGAAATTCCAAGTAGAGGAACTATATGGACAAAAGTAGAAACGAGAACATGTGCAGGAACTGAGAGAGCTTTGGGCTCAAATCTAATTGACAATGGAGAAGTGTTTCTTCACAGGCAACCTCTCTGGGTCTGGACAAACCCATTTTGTTTGACTAATATCATAAAGCACTGAGAGGTTAAAAAAAAAAAAAAAAAAAACTTTTGATATATCCTGTCCAGACTGGAGTATTGTCTGCATTCAGAACATCAACAGACTTAAAGAAAATACTTTATCACAACCTGTCTGTCTTGGTTACTTTTCTCTCACTACTGACACAAAATACCTGACACCCAGAATTAAGGAAGGAAAGGTTTATTTAGCTTACAGTTTGTGGAGGCTTTAGTCCACACTTGGCTGGCTCCAAGGCAGAGTGGCACATGGCACAGGGCAACTGTTCATGGCAGCAGAAAATAGCAAAAGCAACAAGAGCAAAAAGGGAGAAGCAGCAGCAAGCAGCCTTTTTCCCTCCCTTATACTATGCAAACTACCCACCCCAGGGCAGATGTAGCACTCACACCCTTAATCCCAACACTGGACCATGACTCAATCATAAACTCTAGAAGCCCACCCCATGACTACATGAAGCTTTGGAGGGACATCCACACACAAACCATAACACTGCCTTTTGCTTTTTTCTTTTTGTAGTGCTGGGAATCAAAGGCAGGGCCCTGTGCATATTAGACAAGGGGTCTACCACTAAGCTACCCACTGTAGCTGTTTTGGAAGGAAGGACCACCTTTGCTAGTTCTCTGTGGGAGAACTAGCAACTAGTGAAGTCAGAGCTTCATCCATTCTGATAGTCCCAGACAGGGCCTCTTGCACCTGGCAGAAGCCTAGGAAATAAAGCTCCAACTGCCAGGAATTAGCAGATGCCCCCAGAGTAGCCAGAACTCTAGTACTTATTCATCTCCCTAGAGTTAAGCTCTCAATTCATTTCTGGCTACAGAGTATTTTCTTATATTTTTGGTAAGTTTTGCCCAAAATTTTAAAATATTTAAAAAATTCTATGCAGCATTGTTAGGTATTTGGTTGAGGAGGATTCCCAGATACCTAATCTGCTGAACAGATTGGCTCACTGGAGTCACCATTAGTTTTGTTACAGAGGACATGAGTCCCTTATTCCTGAAGTTTTGCTTGCAAATATTAGGTTGGCATCTTTAATCTGGAAAGACACATGGCTGGGCTTCAGATTCTTGTGTTTCAGTCTATTTCAGACTTAGGAACATTGCTAGACTATCTTCTAGCAGTAAAGACAGGGGTTGGCTAGGTGTATTGGTGCATGCCTGTTATCCCATACCTGGGAGGCTGAGGCAGTAGTTAACAGTTCATCACTCGAGCCCAGGTGGTCAAGGCCAGGCTGGGTAACACAGCAAGATCTTGTCTCCAAAGCATTTTGATCCTAAGTTTCTTACATTTTAATTTCAGCAGCACTTTTTTCTGTTGCCCTGAATATCTTTCTTGTGGCACTTGCCCTAATCTTAGCAGGACCTATGATTATAGTAGCTCCTTTTTTTCATAATTAGTGTCTTCTCTATCCATCTAACCATTCCCCCCATTTTTATTCTTGCCTATTTCAATTGTGATTTTTTACAAGCTCTGATTTGGATTCTTCCTACAGTGGGTTTATTATCGTGCCAGAGTGTGTTGGTTTGCATGCATTCTTCCTCTTCCACTACCTTCCCTCATTCCAGGAAGCTGCACTCCCATGCTCCCCGGGCAGCTACCTCTGGGTAGGGTCTGTGGGCAGAGGTGGGGGAGCATTGTAGGGAGATTAGAAGGCAGCGGGATGGGTAGAGCCATCCTTTCACTTCTGGGTGTGAGGATTATAGGTGGTTGTGAGCTAAGGGTAGCAGCTTCGGTATCACCAGCCATGGTGGCAGGTGGCTTCTGTCCAGAGGCAGTAATGTGCCTCCACAGGCAACACTGAGTGTGGTCCTGGGCCTCAGAGCAGGGTCACACCTGGGCTGTTTGCTTTCCTAGCCTTATGCACTACTTTGCAACCTGTTTCCCTCATCATTTCTCTCTCTGCTGAAAATATCTAGAGGGAGTTCAGTGACCCTCACTAGAGGGCTCCACATAGGACTATTAACAGTTTCAAAGCAAGATGTACAAATATATGAGAATTTACAAGACTGGCCGACAGTAGCTGTCCACAGAGCCAGGTGTAGAGGACTGCAGAGGGGCTATCTGTGCGCTGGAGACCCTAAGGATCCAGCAGAAGGCCTGGAGCCCAGTGGAGGGTCCTGAGAGAGTCTATATGAACAGGCTGAAGAGTCTGTGCTGGCAGCCAGGTCCAAGGTGAAGATGAAGCCTGGAGCTCCTCTGAAGAAACAGAAGTGAACCTTCCTTCTTCGTTTCTTTTATTCCATTCTGGTCACAATCCTCCCCAGGTGGGTCTTCACACCCAGAACTGTGCTGACTCAATCTAGTTGGGCATCTCTGACTCAAATTGACAGTCAGTTAATTACCACACCTTGTTTCTTATGTGGCTTTTACTTCTAAAAAATGTTTTTCTTTCCCATTATTTGGCTCCACTAGCTTACTTTTCATCTTCAGTGTCACAATTTTTTTAAATCCTTGTCTTTTTTGAACTCTCGGTCTTTTTGAAAGATAACTAAGGTGTCAACCTGATACGTTCTCTGTGTAATTTCCCTTGCAATAAATGTTCAGCATCTCCCTTATTTTCCTGAGGCACCAACAAGTTCTCCGATGAGGCCGACACTGTTGTTTTAGGAACCACGCTTTGAGTGGTAGCTGCCAATGACCCACAAAGGCCCATGTTCCTGAGAACTGCCCTCAAGTGACAGAAGCTACCTTACCTGAAATACCTGAGAGATTCCATCTGCCACCTAAGCAGTGCCCACGGCCAGTGACTGAGGGACTGGGGTGAATGAAGGCCTGGTCCTTGCCCAGAGTGAGGGAGTGTGGCCCTGCTGCCATTTGTGCGGAGCAACTCAGACACTGGCTAAAGCCATAGCTTTTGGTAGCTTTGCAGAGGGGCTCACAGCAGTGCCCTCCAGTGGCCTCCTCTTTGCTGTGGCTTCTTTCTCACCTGCTGTGGACTAACTGTGCCCCACACTGCTCACACTCGTGTGAAGCCCAGCTAACCAACTACCTGGCTATATTTCTTTTTTGGTTACTTGTCTTTTTGAGACACGATCTCACTACGCAGTTCAGGCTGGCTTTGAGCTCACTTTATAGCCCAGGCTGCTCTCAAACTTGCAATGATCTTCCTGCCTCAGCCTCCCAAGTGCTGGGGTTACAGTCATGCGCCACCACGCCCAGCTTACCTAGCTATATTTG